TTCACTGTGGAAATCTTGGCCTGGATGGATCTCTTTGTTTTTTGTTTGTTTATTTGGGTTTTTTTAGGCTTTTTAAGGGAACAGCAAACCACATGCGAAGGATAAGAAGCCAACTATGGAATTGTTTCATTTGGTTTGAACATTTAAGACCTACAGATGGTAACAAAGGACATGGAGCTGAACTAGAATGAAGCCGAGCTTTTATGAGGGGCTGTGATTTGGGATTTAGCTGGTGCTCACCGCTTGGAGTCGGTGCGCAGCACACCACCTGTCCATGGTGTGTGCTGTAAATGTGATTCCCATTTTGCACTGAAATGAAGGATCACAAATGAATATGGAGCTTGGAGTCGGTGCACAGCACACCACCTGTCCATGGCGTGTGCTGTAAATGTGATTCCCATTTTGCACTGAAATGAAGGATCACAAATAAGTATGGACGCATATGCAGAGCAGTCTGAGCACTGATGGGCACCAGTGACCGCACTGACTGACTTGCGTTTCTATCTGGCACTTAACAAATCAGTAGCCAGCCCATTTGAAATGAGTTATTCAAGACAATCCACCAATAGCTACATGTACGTTTAGTGCCGAAAATTCTAAAGAAGCCCGTACACAAAACGGTTTTTGTTATTCTGTCCTGTTTAGCATCCGGACATCAACAGTTTGAAGGGAGTTTTGATCATAGCCTTTATGGTTGATGTTTACGTAAATTATATTCACTGGCATCTCAGGGAAAAGCTTCAGTCAGAGATGTTTTTTCTCCTACAATATCACAGTGTCAAAGTTGAAATGACACTGATGTTGCATACGACATTGCGTATGTGTAAACTTTCCTTGTACAACTAAAATTTCACTGACAATTGCCCAGGGCCCACTTTGTCATTTTCAGGAATATACCGTATAATTCCAAATACATGTTTACCAGGAATTCTAATTTGGGAGAGGCCTTTTTGAGTAATTTAAAGCACATACTGTCACCATTAAGGGTGTACATTTTAGGTTTTACCAATTCTTCACTTCACACTCACAGATATCAGGATATATACTGGTACATACATGTATTATACCCATGGATAAGTTGTAAATGATGGAATTTGCATTAGATTATAAACAGCGTGCCATAAATACATTTGTAGGTTGTGCAGTAATTTTCATACCGTCTAATTTGTACTGCTGGTTTCCACAGAGTATGGTGCTCAATCCATATGCGTGAGGCTTGGCCGGGGAAGAGGGATGGAGGGTTCATGGAGGGCAACCAGTGTTCTGTGAAATTGCTAACAGTTTCTGTGTATGGTTCATTGGAAGCTGACTACAGCGGCCACTGGCTTTCCTGTACTCAACTAAATTGACAGGATGCTGGTCAGAGTCATTTCCAGAGGATGGCGTGAATGATGCCGTTAGTTCTGTTTGTAACCAGAATGCCGATGAAAATTTCTCATGAGGATTTGATTCATTTGGAAATAGCTGTAATTCTGAGGTCTTCTCAGTTACATTTCCTGTTACGTGTAAATGTTCTATTGTTTTCAAGACACCACATATACATGTATCAGCCAGAATTTGTGAATCAGTCTGGAACGTTGATTTGACAGCCACATGTCATGATTTTTCTTTGAATTATCAGCTACTAGCAATGTTGCTTGATCTGTCGGTTTGACTGTATTTCAAACTAAAAAGTGAACCAAATGGGTTTCAGTGCTCCTTTGCCTTCTACTGTTCACGTATGACTTTTGGACCCAAGTGGGACCAAGAGAGGGCTCCTTTGGGAGGAACTCCACTTCTCTGGTTCACAAACGACCATGAGATGCACGGTGCACACGTTGCGTACATGTTATTACACATACCAACAAAACCTACATGTACACGCCCACCAGTGTGGCTCTTAACAAGCGATGAGGGGGTGCTTCTGCTCGATACTAAGTGACACCCATTCCAATAGACTAGCGTGAGCACAGATGTGTGTACGGTGCAACTAAAACAGTCGCATTTGCACCTAAACTATGATGGTATGCTGGTTTCTTTTGGCTGTTTTTTTTTTCATATAATTGGTTGCCATTTTGGATCTATTCCACAAGCACAAAAGCCAAAGCCTGCCTGTCCTGCGAATGACCGACAGAATAATGTTTCTGCATGTTTTGTCGGATTTTGTACCTGTCACTTGTGTGTTTTGAAAATGTGTGTACAGTATGTACAAAAGTGGACGCGGTGCCTGACATTTTTTGGTTGGAGTATTTTAATTTACTCCATACCTGGACAGAAGACAGTATCCACCCCGAGATGAAGTGCCCCCCCAGTTGGTGAAAGAAAGACAGGTGGTTACAAACGGGTTCTAAGAGCATTTTAATTTACTCCGTACCTGGACAGAGGACAGTATCTGCCCTGAGATGAAGTGCACACCCAACGGCGAAAGAAAGACAGGTGGTTACAAACGGGTTCTTGCACGCGTTCTGCGAGTACGCAAAAACCATACACAGCATGCTCCACATCAAATGCGCACATACTTGTACGCCTCATGGCGTGCCTACCGTATGCAGAGAGTACCAAAAAAAAAGCCCCTCTCTTGTTCCGCATGGAGGGGGTTAGACAAAGTGACGGATAAGGATAAGATTTTTTGTTGTTCCCTCGTCTTGCCTACCTGTCCTTTCTGTTAAAAATGAAACATGTATACAAGCATACTTGCAGTACAAGCATACTTGCAAGTCATGGACTTGCAATATTTTTTTTTTCATTTCAATCAGACTTCATTTTTTTTTTTTTTTGAAGGGCTACTGTTGGATTTGTGTACATGTATACATTCATGTATTTGTACATGTATGCATATACATCGTCACATATCTGATGAATTGGCGAATCGACCGTTCTGATGATTTTCCGATTTTTGTGTCACAAACTGACAAATGGGTTTGGCAGCAGTATTCAAAGAAAGTATTGCTCAAAGAGCCAAAAATACAAATTAGGAAATGATTTCAAAGATCAATTTTTTACCTCGTACACAGAAATAAAAAAGGGTTGAATTAAATATCGAAAACGAGCACGCAATAACTGCTTAACTGAAAACATGTTTTTCTTGAAAATGGTGATATTTCATATTTGTCAGTTTGTCAGATATGCGACGACATGTACCTCAAGAGGACAAAACAAAAAGTTAAAATCCTATTTGTTCATACGATATTCATGCGCAAAACTTTCCCTAGAGTAAAGCACATACATGTACTCAAATAGGTCAGTTTTGAGGGAAAGACCGGCCACTGAGGATAAGTAAAATCTTTGTTCCCTTTGTGTGTCCTATCTTCTGTGCATGTAGTAAAATGAATACACAAGCCCACAATTGTCCAGTTGGGGCTGTCACCTGATAGGGGACCAATATAGCCATCCTCTGTTTGACATCCAGGATTGAATGCGGTCACGATTACATTACTTGCCTACGCAGTGTGGACATTACTTCTCGTCTAGTTAAGAGAAGTCGGTGAAAATACACATTTTCCTAGAGCCGTGAACACTACATGTATTTTAAGCTAGAGGTTCGTTTGTGGGTGCCTGAACTGTTTCCCTTCCTCTCCCCGATTCCAAAATGTCTTTACACTTTTTTTTTCAGGGGAAAACCTTGTGTGGACCTGGCTTAGTCCACAAAAGGTTCACACAGCTTACATTATTATGGAACTGCTTTGGACTCGTGTCCACAAACAGATGGCAAGGTTGGCACGCACTTTATACTGTACCTACGTGTATAGGGAAACCTGAAGTAGAGTGATTTCACTATGCCGTAAACCTGCTGCATTCCAACAATTAAAGATCCAGGCTGACCCTAGATCCTGTTCAAGCCGTTGCCTCGCCATAAATGTGGCAGTGGGTGCAGATGGCATGCACTTTCTCCACAGATGCGTTGACGTGGCTGCGCATGGCAGTCCCAACCCGGGTTGTGGTACTCTGTGGGCTCATGCATTATTTACGTCCAAACCGATCAATGGCGAGGCTATCCGGAGCTACTTGGCCAATGTTTGTGGAGTCGCCATAGAATCTTGATGGCGTTTGCTACTCGTGGGAAGGCGAGGAGGGAATGAAGATGGGAAGAGATCTATTGGCTCTCTCATAGCTCTACTTGCCTTCTCAAGTTGACCCTGTGCCCAGATCCCGCCCTTTGCCACTTCTTCTTTGATGCCATCGTGCACTGGCCTCATCCTTTTGCCCTTTTCCTCTATGCTAATGTACTTGTCCAGCTCCTTCAGTTGTCTGTTTTCAAGAAGTTGTTCAAATCACACCCCTACCCTCTGCAGGTATCCAAGAACCACAGACTAATCACAGAATTGCAGAAGACTACATGTACCCCGGTACATGTACATGTTCTTGTCCTTTCACTACCATGAAGCGGATTGAAGTTCACAGAAGAGCAGTCCATTTGGTGGCGCACTTGGTGCATTGTTGCTGACTTCATGCAGATGGTCACATCTGTGTTTCTCTTTTCATTTTGGCTGTCACTTTCTCTGTTGGCATTTCCCCTGCTGGGGGAGTAACTGATGTAAACTAGTGCTCGCCAAGTCTCGTTCAAAAATTTGGTCGCCAATTTTTCTGTCAAATTCGCCGAGAACCAGTCACAGGGGGTATTATCTGCAGTGATGTTTGCTGAATAAATGATATCTGCACTTACCAAGCACGGTACCTACGCTAAACAGCACTGTGAAATTTGTCCCACAGCAGCAGGCCTAGTCACTAGACTGTTATCTCGTGGAACTACTCTGTTTATCCACAGATCCCAAAAAAGTTATAGGGCTTGATGTTTTGATCTAGTAGATACAAACAAGCAAGCAAGGAATCAACCAATGAGCCAATGGACCTACCGGCTTAGCCCTTGAGAAAGATTCTGTTTGGATCGAAATGTCAGGCCTTAAACTTTTCGATTCCTATATTTTACAGTGTAGGTCACTAGCTGGCAAGAAGATGGTGTTTTATGTTTATATTTGTACACAGATGTTTTTTAAATGTTACTGCCTCATCTCTCCATGCAGGGCTGGGTTTGTGGACTGGCTGCCCCAGCTGTCAGGAATGCTGCTGCCGATCCCTTTCCCTAAGGCGTAAGTGGACAAACCTTTCCAAACAATTTATTTCACACACTGATTCATGGTCGCTCCTTCGCAGTCATTCAGTCGGAATGACTACGAAAATCCCCAGAGACACTTTTTAAAAACTGGAAAATAATCCTCAAATCTCAGGAGTATTAAAACATCCATAATCTTATTTAAATTTAAGCTCATGTTGTGAAAGTAAAAAAAAGTGCCGTGGTTGGGAAGGCATACATGTATGATGGTGCATGCCGACCTGTGGTTGTTCTACATGTAAGTGGCAACCAATTCACCACGACAGAACTGTATTGGGCATTTTCTTTGCATTTTTTGGGGGTAGGGGAGAGTCTTTCTTGCATTCACGATGCTCTCAGACACCGTTGAAATTTCAATATGTGTTGACATGCATGTAGTGAGGCTCAGTGTATCTGCAAAAGGTACCTTTTGAAACAAAGCATGCTATGGAATGAGAAGTACTTGTTATCTCCTGAGGTGACTGAATTACCACAGACATTGAACATACAAGAAATCCATAATCTAAATTTGGTGAAAAAGTACAGCGTAATTTTCTGTCAAAGTCCATGGAGGATATCAGACCATCAGGGTTTTTATAAAGCCCCCTCCTCTCCCTTCCCCTGTAAGAGTTAATCTTAACGAATGAAAAGATGTCTTGAGTTGCGGGCCAGTTCTGAGACAACAGAGAGGAGCATTCATACAGCGAGCGTAATCACATCTCTATTTTTAGTCCCGTTGAAAATGAGTCCTGCAGCCAGGAGTCTGCAATTAGCTGCTGGGGACGATGTCGCGTCATCAGTGGAAGTTCCCTGGCCCTTTTTAACGTCCATTTTCAATTACATGCGTGTATGGGCACAGAATGACAAGTAGGAAATTGATTACCGTGATCCATCAGTGGATCATTTGCTCTGCTCAAGTTTAGTGATTTGGCCCAAAACTGTAAATACTGCGGTCAAAGACAAAAATGTAGATTGGCTGAATTTAAAAAAGTCAGATTTAAAAAGGGAAGGTGAATTGTTAAGGTCGTTTTAAACAGAGCCGTCCTGAGAAACTGGAACTAAATTGATATGAAGTTAAGGTTTCATGGCGTACCCGGTACATTTATATGGCTAGCAGTAGCGACTCTTTCCAATCCTACGGTATGAAGATATTCTCTTTTCACAGAATTGGAATAGAATAGAATCAACATGAGAATCCCAAAATGATGCTTTACAGTCAGCATCTGTCACTATTCTTGCCCACACGTATCTCTAGTAATGCCGTTCCTTTGCGGCAGTGCTGTTTTAAAAGAACGCCTCATTGGCTGCCGGTAGTTCTGCCCTGCAGAGACCATTAATGGGTCTGTGCATGCCCGGCCGTCATCCCATTAAGCAGTTGCCCAGTACTGCTGCGTCGTATTTCTTATCCTGAGTATCGTAGATGAAGAATCCCCATGACACAGTGGATGATGTTGTTCCCGTTTGTTTTCCCCCTGGATACTAATATCTCAAAATGCCATTTTTGCCCCATTTACAGAGCCTTTGAAAACAAGCGGGTGACTGCGTAAGTTGTCTTTATGGTTTTCATGTTTGTATGATTTGTTGGTCGGGGGCCAAATATTGATAAACCATCTATTGCATGGCAGTTTATTTAAAAAAAAAAAAAGATTTTTGAATGCTAGGAGTTCATGGAATTGAAATGTTTCTGTCACACATGTCCATATTAAACACAGGCAGTGTTGGACTGAAGTCTGCAATCTTGTTAAAACATCAAATCACAGTTCCGTTCAAAAGCTTTGTCACATGGCTTTGTGATGGAGAACTTTACCTACAGTACCGACCAGAGGTTGCCCAGGCGAGATACCTGCGTTGGCTCCCATAGTTTTCTACTGTTTTAATTTACTTGTAATCGGTTTTCTCGGGGCAACATAATGAAATGTTTGAACTGTATAGAAGTAAATTATTTGCTGATGTGTACATAATAAAAAGTTTGTTTTAAAATACCGAACAGCATTTTTTGTGAAGGTCACAAGTACTGTGAATGTTGTTTTGTCTTTCATACCATGTTGGATGTCAAGTCGTTACTTTCATTTGGAATAATAGGCTTGGGCTGTTTCAAACACGGGTTTTTATCCAATATCCAAGTAGGTTTCATTTTTGAAACATTTCCCTCTAAAATTGCACTCTTTTTACATTTTTGATTGGAGCTAGTTTGCAGTCTGAAGTTGATTCTGGCAGAATGATACACATTTTTTTATTGTTGTTTAAATACTCAGAGTCTTATTCTGCAAGCGCTCAGAAAGAACTTTAAATTCCAAACGTTGCAATATTGAAAAATTTGGAGGGTTCTGGCACGTGTATTGGTGAACTTATTTGTCAGTTTGGGCCGAAAGACAAAAATTTACAATGTCGCTTGTGAAAGTACAGACTCTTCTGAACTGGTTTCTCCCTTTGGTAAGTGCAATTTTAGAGTGAAGCACTGAGAGTGGCAGAAGTGCATTTATGAATGGTGTGGAAATCCCCTCACCTCTCTCCCTCCCTGTGTTCATTTGCAGTGCCCTGAGCACCATCATTAGCAAGTTTGCCACGGACGATCGTTGTGAGGTGCACACAGCGGTGTGCGGCGTGAGGGACGGCAAAGCTGGCTGGCTGGACCTTTTCTGTCCTGGGGGAGCGGCCTGCAATGATGATGGGCAGATCTTCTCTCAAATGGTGGGTCATGTCTGCAGTGCTCTTCAGACTGGAATAAGAGGGGTGACAGAGGAGGAGGCTGTCTTTTTTTTCTTTTTCTCAGTTTGGGTTGGTGACCAACTCTTAATTTCTTGCGTCTTTGCAAGAGGATTGTTAGTGCTTTCAGCAAAATAGGCCCAGACATGGCCTTCCACGTCTTTTTTGGAATCCTTTCATCTCCTCGGGGCATAGTTGGCCGTTACTGCCAGTTGACCCCCCTTGGACCATCTATGACAAAGCAAACCTGTTTGCTCTCAGGAGAGAGCAATTGTGGTAAAGTGCCGTACTGAAGAACACAGAAGGCCGTTGCCCTTTACTCTCCCTCCAAGCGAAAAGAGGGTCTTCTACTTGAGAGAAAGTAAGACCAAAATCAGTTGCCTCTCTTAAACAAGCATGAGAGCTTTCAACTCGCATTCCACAGGTGGTATGAAAGTTTTTCCCACAAGTTGAGAAAAGAAGTCCAAGGAAGGCCGATTCCTTCCAACCCATTCAAATTTGCCACCTTTTGGGTAGCATTTTCTCAGGTTCTATCTCTGACAGCAAAATCCCCCATAGAGTCAGTTTCAGGAGCAGATTACACAGTGTTACATAATTCCCTGCAGGGGCCACAGCTGGCCTCATCCTTTGAGTGATTATTGCCGTGGCAATTTTTAGCAGTACGATTATCTGACCTTTGTAGTCAGCATGATTTCCTGTCGTTAAACTCTGTCTTGGATGCAGAAATAGCATCTGCGACTCGTCGCAGTTTTTTTTTCTCTTTAAATTGAACCGACGGTTGATACCAGTGGGAGGGTGGCCACAGTTGTCTGGGTCACCTTGGCAACAGGCGTATTGTGATTATTTGCCCGCCGGACAGAGTGATTTGATTTCCTTTGCAAATTTTGCTTTTTTTTTTTTTTAGCTTCAAAAGTTGATCAGCTGTTGCTGCAGAAGGCGTCGTTTTCTCCTGTCCATTACTCCGCGGCTCTTCGAACCCATCCAGCTTTTAGCCCTCAGGAGGAACGCCACCTGCATAGAGGTATGTATTGATGTGTAGACTGGGGACCTGACCCCTCACCACACGGAAACATCAGGTCAGGCAGTGCTATCAAAGCTTCTCCAACCGCTTTAAACTCATGAGCAAGTTGACCCCTGAGTAAGAGATTATGTGGACAACAAACTTCCAGCCAGTCTCAGACTCTGACTGTGATTGAGATATACCAATGTTGTTTTCAGACTTACTTGCCGTGTCTGTCTTAGACCAGAGAGGGATGGAGCCCATCTTCTTCCTCAGTGACTTTGGCTGTGTCTAGGTTAGAGATAAGGCGCAGCCACTGTCATAGACTCCTGTGTGATTTTAAGCCGCAGCCAGTAAATCGGACACGGCCTTACATGGGAGCGCTGTGCAATGGCTACAACTACTTTCTTATCGGTGTATGTACATGTATCGGTACTTTTCCCAGCTGTAGCCAATCGATGTGGTTGTGGCTTTTACAGCCAACATTCATTGACCTATGACTCTGGGAAACTTCAAACTATTTGCTCGTGCTACAATTACCGTAGCTGCTTGCTTACGTGTGCGTGCTACAGAACATTTCCTGCCAGACTTCAGGAAAGGTAGAATTGTCACAGCGCACTGCCGGAAGCTGTTATGATGTTGCTTTCTCCTCAGATGTATCCTCAGAGGTGGTATCCAGATGACAGGGCTCTAGCTGAAAATAATGCACAAGTCTATTATAGTGGCTGTAGCCACCACTCATTTGCTCTTGGGATGCTGCCTCCATAGGCATGCAGAGCCTCGATCTAGTAATTGTACACACTAAATATAGCCGGTTCAGTAATTCCCGTCTATGTTGCCTTGTAATTTTGCACATGCTGTGTTAGTTCTTATACCTTGCGATTGGACAATATTTCAAAAAGCTTCATTGACACAATTCTGACATGATTCTATAATCTGCCAGTTCAAGGACACCACCATAAAAGTCTGGTAATCCCTGATAAAGATGGCCGCAGGAGGTGGTTTTCATAGGCCAATTTTATCTGTTCCAGATGTGTCGAGTACAAAAAGGTGATAATGGAGAGAATCCAATATTCAATAATGGGAGGGATATTCCAAGATCAGTTAAGCAGAAAAGGAGCCATTGACTAAATGCCTCTGAGATCATGCTGGTCACCTTTGTGTCAATTGGGCCATCATGTAAACTTGGACTAGTTTGTGTGGGCTTTGGTTTCGTGCCTCCATGAATAATTGAGGACCGAATTTGAGTCATCACTGATCGGCTGATTCCATCACCAGGCATGTAAATTACTGTACTCACATAATCACGTCCAGGGTATGTTGCTTTGTTTGGGTTTCAGTCGTCTTGCATTGTTGTTTCATTTTGAGGTCATTTGAAAATGCAGCAATGTGTTCCCATAGCAAAACCAGATGGGGAAAAAAAACAGATACATGGTTATGCTCTCAATGTAAATGTGAATTCTGTCAATCTAGTGAACAAACCTGGAATTATGAAACAGAAAAAACATCTGTTGAATTTGGGCAGTTCTTTGTATAAGACAGTTGTGAGTTGAAGTAATCAATGCAAATTGAATTCATGATGCCCGTTGATCAGCACGAAATTCACAAAGTTCCTTTTTTTTCTTTTTTTTTCAACTCATTTCTTATGGGAGGGCCACATTTTTGTTCCAGTGTCTCTGTCCTTTCAAAAGTGGAACATGTCAAATGACTGTTTTCCATGAAACTTTAATATGCAGCTCAACTGTATCTGTTGTTTGCATGGCTAGAAGCCCTATTCCCCTTGGCACTCCAAAGGTTAGCAAGGCAATGCCTTTCATATTTGTACCGGTAGCAGACAGGAAAAAAGAAAAAAAATGAAGGAAAATATGAAATATTAATTCCTTAGGGACAGGCGAGCTGAAAAACAGACATGTTTCGGGCCTGAAACTCTTTTTATGCTCAGATTGGACGGATGTGACGCAGAACGTGAAGCAAAGGCCAGGACCTAGGTAATTTGTTACCATGGCAGCCGAATTGCAACAGTATAATTGGATAACAGTTCCTGTGCCCTTGGTGGGAAACACTCAAGGGGTTTGCAGAAATGTTATAAACACGTCAATTAGCATTGTTTCTATTATGCACCTACATTGTAAGTCATGTCCCTCTGATTAATGCAGGGTCACTACGGACTGGTGACCGAATCAAGTACATGTATCTTGCGGCTAGGACTCCCCTTTTTTGGCCATTATGGCCAATTTCAAGTAGCCGGAGCTGTTAGACAACAGTGTTCCTTTCTCATGTGAGCCGTTGAAAAGGGAATGAGGTTTAAAGTGGTTAAGGTTTTGCAACGTAGTGAAAAGACTGCCAGGGGTTCAAATCCAAGAGCTGGTGGGGGGGAAGAATCCTCAGGCAAGTCGTGTACATGGATATCCCCACTCTCCTGCCTCAAACCAGGGGAATAAATGGATATCTTGGATCTACTGATCTTTGGCTGATAACAAGTATATGTATCTCACTGAACAAAACAAGGGAAAAAGTCTGAAGTGGTCAATAACATGATACAGGGGCCAGTTTCATTGGGCTGCTTAAGCACAAAGTTTGTTTAAGTGTGAAAAAACCTTGCTTGACAAATCAGGTTACCAGCCAAAACTTCTTGTGATGTATGTTGTTTTGGAATGGTATTCACCTGTCTTTTGGTAAGCATGACAGTCACGTAGATTTTCAGCAGGTAACCTTTGTTTTTTCAGCAAGGTTTTTCGCACTTGAGCAAATTTTGTACTTAAGAAGCTCTATGAAATTGGCCCCACAGTCTGAACGAACTGCACCTGTCTTGACCTTCCCCTCCCCTGACCTTGGCTTGCAGATGCTGTGCCTGATGCTGGAGTTGGACATTCTGCCCGACGAGGAGACCTGCATGCAGGTGACGCAGACCCTCAAGAGCACCTCGGAAGGCCTGGAGACGTACAAGAAGCTGTGCGAGAAGCAGACCGCCCTCAAACAGCTGGTAAGGCCCTGTCCACCTCTCCCCCCGGCCCGTAGTCAAACATTGGTTTTTTGAGACCATCACGAGACCAGTCGCGGGACTGGTCACAGGTAGCAGGGTGAATAATGAAAGAGGAATGCTTTTGTTGCAGTTCATTAGAATAGCTCGTGACCTGAATTCAAACTGGAGGTCTTGCGTTGCGCATGTGTTGGTCTTGTGGGGTCTTTTGATACTCTCAGGAGGTCTTGACTGCGACACACTGACTGTCCTGCACCAAGCTCTCCTCAGTTTTCTGGATTCACCGGTTGATAAATGCCTCATGAGAGAAATTTATCAGAGGCGCTCATGTGTCGGTTGAACAAGTCAAGCTTCAAGTTGTCAACTAGGTGCATCGTGTTCATGGTTTCAAACCTCACAGTTTAGAGAAAGGGAATTTCATGTAGACGAAACAGGGTGCACTGCGTGGTATTGTATGCTTTCTTCCATTAACATCAGAGTTTGATTGGGTGGCAGGAAGAATTGCATTAGGGGGGGTTTTTATCAGGTCAGAATAGGTTATTTGTTGTTAATAACAAATGATAAAACATTACAGTATAATACCAAGTCCTTCTTATGTACTGTGCCGCGCTTAAGACAGTTCGCAACTAGACATAAGTTCTTACCAATAAGAACAAAAAAGTCAAATTAAACTGTAAAGAAAACAAATTATTTCTACATATTTGAAAATTACATTATTAAACCTCAAAGGTTTTTTCCAATGTAAGTTTCGGTAAATAATTTTTATTATGGTGCTGCTATTTTTGCTTTTTCCTTCTCTTTCTCTGCTACTCCCTCCAGCAAGAGAAAGGCGGTCCCCATGCCTTGTCCCTGCCCTCCAAGTCTACTGACGCCGACGTGGCTCAGCTCTTCAGCTCGGGGCCGCTGGGTAATCTGGAGTGCCTAAACCTGGCCTTCACCCACGTCACCAGCGGCTGTGCAGAGACCCTAATCAAGCTGCCCAACCTCAAGACGTTAAACCTCTGGTCCACCCAGGTATGGTCCAGGACAGAATGATCATTTGCCCCCCCCCCCCGAGTCAGGCATGCAACTTTTCATCAGATCAGCTGATTTTGTTGTTTTTCACTTCCCACTCGCGCCATTGGAAACCTAAAAACACCGTACAAAGTCTTGTAAAGATTGGAATTTCCTCGTTTATGTTGTCAAAGTCCAAACTGCAAGCCCGAAAGAGTGAACACGGCTCACAAGGTTTTCCAAGAAATCAGGGGGAGTGATTTCTCAGAAGCTAAAGGAATGCATTTTGCCACTGGTCATTCAAGTAGTCTGTGAGTTGATCTGAGATTCAGGCAACTGACATGTGATCAATTGTTGAGCATCTGTCACTGGTTGGGAATGATTTCATTGCAATACAGTGAGAGAGCATGCTGTAACAATACAGTGAGAGAGCATGCTGTAGCTATGAAACCCTACTCCTCCCATTGAAATCTACAAGACACTGCAAGAAGGCTCTTGAGCTGTGAATAATTGAGAAAGGTAGAATCTCAACCCTGAATGCTGCACTGAAGTACAGCATTGTGTACTTTTTACTTCCAGGTGACATGAAGCCCTGTGTTAACCACTTCATGCCGGGGTATTTTTCAATGTTGATGATGCTGGGCCGGCATGACAATCATTTTTTCCGTTTTCAAAATCCTTCGAAAATTCATCG